AACCTTCAGGAACTGGATGAACTCACTGGGCGTCAATCCACGCGTCAATCATCTCTACGTGTGAGTGTCATAAACCCCATCAGCAGTGCTGTACTCGCTAGAAAACACAGGCCAGGACTGATCAACTACAGAGAATAAAGCACATTAGTGGATCCTAAAGAGAAATGAGTGATGCACCAAAATCTCAGTAATTCATTTTCAGTTTTGACGTTTAATTAGCGCTTCTCTGACGTTTTGACTGTGTTGGTGCATAAACTACAACAGGTAAACAATTTCAACTGCAGAAAGATGTCAAAAACAGCTAGTAAACAACACGTGACATCACATTGACCTCAGAAAAGACATCCAATGAACAAAAAAAAAAAAAACTTTAGAGAGGAGCGTTTTTGGTAAATATATGTACTACATTACATATTCATATATATTTTTTGTACTTAATCTGTTGTCCTCATTATTTCATGTGATTAAATATATGAGTTTTTATTACAATCACTGATTCAACTACGAATTGGAGTAGAAACATAATTATACCATTAAAAAGTATCAAAACTGGCTTATGTGCAATTTAAATGTTTGCATACAACTCAGTTTTTATTTGAGTGTTGATTAGTAAATAAATTTGATTAATTTTGAGTTTTCAGCTAAATTAAAACTTAATTTTGTTTTACAGTGTTTCTGTAAAAAAATTAATTTCGGTGCATCACTAATTCTTACTAATTCTACAGTATATTTACTGTATCTATAGTGTGTTTCTGTATTATGACCTTCACATTATACATCAAAGCAAAAAAGTTTTAATTTCTACACATAACTGAATTCAAATAAGCATTTTTGTTTCCAGTATGATGATGGCAAACCACTGTCTGAAACGTTTGATAATGAAAACTGTGTGCACTAGTATCCAGGCTAACGAAAAGAATGTAAAAAAAACTTTATTTCTAAAAGTTCTCTGAACGTTCAAATTGTCAAAATGTTTTTCTTGGTTATGTGAACATTAGAGAAAACTTTAAAGAAACATTCCATTGTATCATTTTGCAACATTATGGGAACGTTACTTTTAAATGTTCTCTCAACCATCAGAAGCTTGTAACATGTTTTAATGTAACATGTTTAGTTAAACATTAACTAAAATGTTTCAGAAAAACACTTCATGAACCAAGTATGAATAATGTTTTTGTGCTAACCTTATTAAAGAGGGGATAACTCAACAAACGTTTATTAATGTTACTGGAAGAACGTTTGTTCATAGCTTTGAGAGAACCTCGCCGGAACGTTCCCGGTCAGCTGGGAGGTGATTTCAGACGCTGCCGGAGACACTGGCGCAGGCTCTCACTGCGTTCTCTGTGTTCTTCCAGGGATCTGGCCGATGCTCTGGTGATCTTCCAGCTCTATGAAAAGATCAAGGTTCCTGTGAACTGGGACAGAGTCAACAAACCGCCATATCCCAAACTGGGCAGCAACATGAAAAAGGTACAAATGCAGTATAACAGAAGGTCATGACTGAAACGCTTCAAAGGCCCCATGAAATGACTCGTGAACTTCTGCCTTCACGTTCACCTGGGAAGCTCCTGTTGCATTATTACAACATGTCACACATTTAAGTTGAAAAAAAAAAAAGTGTATTTTATACATGTTTTTATCATTATAAAATAT